TACTTGAGCTGACTATGTCTTTTGAGGCCCTGCCCCTCTGAATCTACGGGACCTGAGTCTGACATGCTGAAATGGGAACTGTCCTATGTCCTGTCATTGGCAAAAACACTCCTCCTGGAAGAGAGTTACAGTTGTAAGATAAACAGTGTTTTCTCAGTCTGCAGTTGCTTTTGTCACTAAAATGGACTGGTAGTAAATTGTATTCAGTATGAGTTTGGAGAAGGAAAGACCATGTGATAAGCAGAACTTACTAAGTGTGATTTGGGAATTCTTCTTAGATGCTGCAAGCAAAAAGTTGTTGTTTTCCTGCTTCTTTCTGTACAGTTCTCCCAACTGCAATACAAAACTTAGCAGGTATTGCTGGATCTTGTGGAACAGATCCAGTATAGGAATGTACCAGTTCTGGTCACATTTTGAAGCGCTTTGAGGTCTAGCAGAAGGCAGCAGATTTCTGTGTGTATTCTGCTCCAACTGTTGCTGTTCCTTTTCTTTTTTAATTTTTACTTTCTGGTTTGTACTTCAGAGCATATTGGGTCTGGCATAGATTTAGTAAGCTGTAAGTTTTAAGTCAGATGCCCCAACTGATGTATTTTGGGGTAAATGTAAGAATCTTTGCCCTCAACTTTCTAAGTGCTGCAGTGATGAGGTGGCTGCTTGGCAATCGTGTTGTTGAAGAACTTCACCAAGTCGTAAAGGTGGAACACTTCATTTTGCAGCTGTCTAGTTTCTGAGCATACCATTATTAAAGAGTTGGAAAGAGAATATTTCATGGGATCAGTACACAGTTTGCTTTACTGATCTCTGTTGGACTGATGTTTATGTAAGCACTGAGTTAAAAATAGAGCACTTGGTCTGTCTCCAAATGTGTGATACAGATTGTGAGTAGAAAAACACTTTGGAAAATACCATGTTCTGAGTTTGTGAGGTGAAGTGCTGACCAAGTGGTGCCTCAGGGTAGCCTGAGAGTTTCCTGCCCAGTGTTTTCATGTGCTAATTTCCAAATTGCCCAGGTCAGTCAGCACTATAAAAATTAAAGCCTTTGGATACAAAGCTTGGAAAGGATCTGATGCCATTAGGTTTGCGGTGTTTCTTTTCAAGAGACTTTTTGTTTGCAGTGGTTCACCATTTCTAAGACATCAGCACACACCTCATACCACAGGGCATGTGCAAATAATGAATGGGATTAATGGTGAGTTGTCACGTGGGGATAATGCCATCTGCCACCCTAAACTTGCCACTGTGCTTTCATCACCAGGACTGAGCAGTTTTGCTCCTGTGCTTGGGATTATGAAGTAGTAAAATAAAAATTAGAAAAGATGGCAATGATCCAGTGTGTGCTGTGTAACAAAGAGGAATGTACAAGGAAAAAGGTGTGCTTTCTTGGTAACTCTGAAATCTCTGTTCTCAGTTTTGAAGTGGTTTGGGAGCTATGGCATTTTTTCTTGGTTCGGCTCTTGGTTTCAGCCACTGTGGCAAAGTTTGCAATCTCTAAGGGGTACTGTGCCAAAGAAGGGCTTTCCTGTTTAAATCAGAGCCTGAACATGATTGCATGACCTCACTAATGCTCCGTTTGACAGAGGTGAGATAATGTCAGTCACTTTACTGATACTGTCTTGCTAAAATGCAAGGTGATATCTTCCTTGCACCCCTCCACGAAGGTCAGAACATGCAGGAGATGCTTCTTCCTCAAAATGCTGCAGCTCCTGGCTCTGTACCAGTCACCCTGGGTGCCTTTCCAAATTCCTCAACACACCTCCTTTGGTATCTGGGCTATGAGCTGCTGACCTCTGCTTCGAAGATTTTACATAGATTTCAGAGAAGTTGGCACGTGATATTGAAAGGGAATAACTGCTGATTAATGCAAATGTAGTGGTGGGTTTGCCTCTGTGGGGAAACAAGAAAAAGATTGCTAAGAGTGGTAACTTTCCATCCACAAACTCTGGTCACGCTTGGCATTGGGAGAAATAAGATGACTTGTGAGGATTTACATAATGCAACAGGAGAAGCAATAAAGGCAAGATAGATGAGAATTTTAACTCTGCATTGTCCATCTGGGTATTGTATAGGTGTCCTTTTTAATGGTACTGGCCAGGAAGTTCAGCATCTTCTCAGGATTGTCTTTAATTAGAAGTACACACAGTGAGTACTCTTGAACTTGCTGTATGCTTGCATTTTTTCTTAATATGAATGAACTTATTAACTCATATCTAAATCAGCTGCCAAAAGGGCTGCTTTTTTTTTTCCATTGATTGGGTGATCTTTTTTCCCTTGTTCTTTGTTAAGAAGCCTTTTCTTGAAAGAATTTATCTGAAGGGCTAATGAAATGTGTGATGTGGAATGCACTGAAGGATTTGCTGTTGCCAGTGAGAATCTTTCACCCTTTCAGGAAACAGTAAAATATTTCTCCTCTTAAAATTAAAAGATCCTTACTTCAGTCTGTTCATGCAATCTGTACTATTTGTATCAGTACTTCTGTGTGCAGTGTGCTGGAAGTTTTTAAAAATATCTTTAAAGTTCTACTACATTATATGTTTTATAATATTTTTGGCTTAAGATTATGGCATATTTTAGGGCATAACAATTGGTATAGTTTCGCAGTTTAGGAGAAGCATACGAGGTAAGTTTTCAGGTTGCCTCTTACTCATGTTCATGATCCTGTAACTATGCTCACTGATTCAACTATAATTCATATCTGGAATACTGAGTATAGCATTATTGTTCATACTGCCATTTGTGTCCATTAGCTTCCAGAAGAGCAATACTAGCATTTTTAGCAGCAGCAGTGTTACAGACACCTAGGACTCCATAACTTGGTTGAAGGACACATTTTGCTTAGAGGAGAGCAGGAGGATTGTATTTCTACCAGAAAATAGGACAATGAGGAGCAAAAGAATAAAACAGAATTCTGGGCATGTGGGGAGGTCCGTATTACAGAAGAAAAATAATTGCTATTCTGTCTTCTGCTGTGTAAGTCCTGTGGCTTTGTGCCAAAGTTCGTATCTTGTCTCAAGATCTGACCCCGTTGTCCACTAAGGGCAAAAGATAGTTGTTTGTGACCATGTCACCTTGAGATGAATGGCATATAAAAATAAATACTGGGTATTTATTTTTAGAACATGTAGGGCAAATTGTGAATTCCTTGCCAAGGCATCCATAGTTTGAAATTTATAAATATAGTTGTGTTTGCCTTATCAGGCTCTCACTTTCCCCTCATTCCCCCCAGTCTGAATGAAACTCAAAACCTGAAAAATTGAAGTGGATTTTCCCAACTGTTACGTTCCACTTCCTGACCCCCCTAAATGGCTGTTACACCAAGATAAAAAAATAATGTTAAATAAGATAGGATATGAAAGAAAATAACATAATAGGTGTCTTTCACTAAATGCCCTGCTTTGTGTGACAGCTTATTCTTCACAGTGCATAGCCTGCAAAATTTGAGAGGTTGATTTTTTTTTTCTTTTTTCAACCTAAATTTATGAAATGGCAATCATAGGGGGAAAAAAAAGGCCATAGATTTGTTCATTTAAAATGAAGTGAGGAAATTGTATGCAACTAAGGTACTGCCAGCTGATGTTGATACGATGCTTTTTTTGTAACTATCATTTGATCAACTGTGGAACCTCTCCTATTGTCATCCCTTCCTGCTCCCAGTACAGAAGCTTCTTCCCGTGTGAGAAAGCCATGCTGCTCAGGCACAGGGTTGGAAGCTCATGTGCTGCTCTCCCTCTTGCTCCAGTGTGTCCTTCCTGTGCTGGTCCGGTTCTGTGATGGTCCCTTCTAAAGCCTTCCCAGTTTGCTGATAGTCTAGACTTCTATAAAGCTGTCTCTTAATCATAGATAATCAAGCTCTGCTAATCTCTCCCAAGCCATGAATTATTCTTAACATGTAATTGCTGTGGAGTTTATGCCTTTTCCAAGAAATGCCTTCCCTTTTTAAATGCAGTTGTGTGTTGAGAGTATTAAGTGTTTCAGTCTTTTACTTTTGATGTTTGAGGCTCATCACCTTTTTGGTGTATATGTTCCCCTGTAAATTAGAGTGATATTAGTTATTTCTTGCTATTTATCTCTGAAACATAAATGCAAGTGAAAAGCAAATTCTCAGTGTTAAAATAGCTGAACCACTACGGAAACGTGAAATGTTTGCTTTTCACTTAGTAGATAGAAATGATGAAAAATATTCAGTAAGTCACTTACAACAGGATTTGTAGGCTTCAAAATGCTTTGTAAAATGAGAATGTCAAGGGACAGCTTTAAAGTTACTGTTTAAATATGCAACGCTCTTAGCTGATCATTCCCCACACAGGCCTTGATGTGAATCACTTTTAAAAATCTGTGCTAACACGTTTGTGTGCATGTGTACCCACCATTCATGACAGAGCAGATCCTGGCAGGCTGCTTCCACATTAATCAGATTCGCCCTTTAATGTGCCCCATGTGAAGGGATTATTTTCCACTAAAAAGGACACTTTCACCATCAGTGAATGCTGCCAAGGTGATAAGAACATGGCCCTGATAAATCTTTAAAGCAGGGCGGCTCATCACAGCTGGTGTCCTGTACATGCAGGAGAGACTTCAGATGAAGCCATGCATTACATGTGACATTTATCAGCAGGGTTAGCCATTCATCTCTGCTCATCCCGACATCTTGTCCACAAGTCTTTTTGCTGAGGACCATATGATTGAAAATGTGTGTCAGGAAGGCAGTCAACAAAACCCTCCTGCCTGGTAATTGTGCCGAGTTCGCCAGGACCTCAGTCTGCCTCTTACCTGTTACCTGTGCTTATGAGGGACATTATTCATCTGTAGAGTGTATCCCTTGTTTCTGCTTCTCCATTTCTTGTATTTTTTTTCTTTTCTTTTCTTCTTGTGTTTCTTTTCTTTCTCACTCTTACGCTTTTTGTCCTTTGCTTGTCTTTTCTTTCACCCCTTTCCTCCTTCTTCCTTTCCACTTCCAACTTCCTCTCCTGCCTCTTCCTCTTCCTCGTTTGGTCCTATTGAAGTTGAGCCCAATGCCGGGACACCACGTCGTAGACCTCTCTCCTTCTGCCCTTGCTGTGCCCACGAAGGTAACGTAACCTCACACACTCCCCGCTCCCCTTGGCGGCGCTGGGTTGTTGTAGCAGTGCTAGGCAGCTAGTGATCACGAAGCCCTCGGCCCCGTTCTTGCTTTTCCCCCAAACCCGTCTTCGCAGTAGCACCCTGGTAAGCAGCTTGTGACAAGCTAGTACTAAAGGTACAGTATCCCTTTTTCTGCTGCAAGTTGTGGTAGGGAGGGAGTAGTGCCTGGGAGGGACACGGGGCAGCAGCAGCGGGAGCAGTAACATCACTCTCCAAAGCTTCTGGTTTCATTCGGTCTTTTTAATTCCGGTGTTCTGCGCGAAAGGTATCTGGAAAGTGGGATGAGGGACGAAATTCCCCTTCCTTAAATAGCCTTTTAATTAGAATGTATGGATTAAAGGAATACTGTCTCTTTATAAAAGACTGGCTTGGAAAACATCCCTGAAGTTTAAGAACCAACAAGCCTTGAGTCAGACCAGTCTTCCCTGATCCGTCGTGCTGAGTGTATTCTTCAACTGTCCCTAATACCATAGATTTTCCATTGCCAAGGCATGGGGGAAGGGGGCTGTTATGTGTGTTCATGGTGTAACTTTGCTAACCACTTACTCTGCTTTCCATGATGCTCCCTCACATCAGTTGTCAACACTCCCTCCCAAGACCTCCCACATTCCTCTGTGCATTGGCTGTTTAAAAATAATTAAATATTTCATAGGTCAGTAGCGGTGTGTTTTGGGCTTTTCTTTAGAGGCATTTGTTTCCTTCACATCCTGGCATTGGAAAGGGTGGGGAGACTTCCCAGTGCTTTCATGGCACCACCGCACTGGACATCTGCATGTGCTGTCTCCCCTCCTCTGTGGCCACGTGGGCATATTGTGCAGAGATGCTCGGAGAGGAATGCTGGCTCTAGGATCCAGAGAGCCAGGGGCTCTCAGGGTGCCACAACTGGGGCTGCTATTTCCCAAGGGTCTACTGCAATATTTCTAATGCAGATATTTTCAAACTAAGCTATGGTTTAAAAGAAATTTTACGCTCTTAGCTCCAGAGCAACACTTCTCTGAGACCTTAAGGATGGAAGCAGGGTATAGGTATGAGTCAACTGGCCATTAATGTGGTATTTGTGTAGCTTCCCAGAGCGAATAGTGAGCTTGCTGCTTGACTCTTGCTAGCATCAAAACCATTGTTTAAGATGTTTTGTTCTCGATGTAGCTATTAGGTATCCGTAATAACAAACTAGACACTGCTGTTAGTTACTTCAACAAGCCTAGGTTATATGCAATGCAGATAGGATTCTGCAGCCAGAAGATACCGTTGACCTTGATTTGAGGCCTTTCTCCTGCCTACACTTCTTTGCAGGTAGGCAGCCTACTAGTGTCCTTGCTGGCGTTTGATTTAAGCCATGCAAGGTAGCGGGGTGTGGAATCAGGGGCCTAAAACAGGATAATGCCATGAAGAGCTTCCATGGAAAGCTCTTGCACTGGGAAATGTCAGAAAGCGACTTTGAGAACAGAGTTCTGCGATTTATTCCTTGTAGCTCCTGAAAGATGAAATTTATCAGTGGACTGTTGAGTAGGGTTAGGACTTGGTTGTGAAATAAATGAAGTATCAACTGTGAGTTCTGTATTGGCTGATGGAGGCCCAAGAATTTTCTGTCCTACTATGTTAGCAAATGTGACTGGGGATTCCCTCTCTCTTTCCAGTGCTGATGTGCAAAACAGTAGAAGTAATTTCTGTGTGTGCTGTGCAGTGGGCATTGCCACAGTGGATATATATGTGGCTAGGAGGAAGAGTGAAAAAAACTTATTTAGCCACTGAAGAAACGGGAAAAAAAGAAGATACAAGGTTACTTTTGGCCAGTAAAACAAAAGATTAAGGATGTGGTTGTGAAGAAAATAAGGGTAAATGCTTGGAGTTGGCAAGTTGATCAGTTTCTGATGAGCACACATTTAAATAGCTGACATGAAGTATGAAGCTACTGTAATGAATGAAGTGAGCTGCAGACATCCGGGCTTTCTGCAGTGGCAGGAAGGAAGAAACAAGCAGTGGCAAGAAAACTGGGAAGCAAAAAAAATCAGGCTCCAAAGAGAAAGAAGCTTTTGGAGGTGGCTTCCACTCTTCGGTGTGCTGTAGGCAAACTGAATGGACCCGGCTTGGGAGTGCTCTGGCAGCATCTTGCTCGGCTTTCTTTGCACATTTTGCCCCCATTGTTGTTTTTGCCATTTGGGCTTATAATGATCACAGGGCAATGTCTGAGAACTTACCAAGGTCTCTCTTTTGGCAGGGATGGGGAAGAAGGATGATCCGAAGCTGATGCAGGAGTGGTTCAAGCTGGTGCAGGAGAAGAACGCTTTGGTTCGCTACGAGTCCGAGCTGATGATATTGTGAGTGAACGTGCAAAGCTGCAAAAGAGGAAATACTCCACAAATAGTAATGGATGATCTGCTGGCACTGTCTTACCTATAATGTGGGGATGCCAGAAGTCCCTTAGCCTGATTCTTGGTTCAGATATGAATCTAAGCAAATGTGCATCTCAGAAGAATCTCTGATAGAAAAAAAAGTCTAGTAAGGCATGAAAATTCCAACTGTTTGTGTCCAAGCAGAAGTATGGATGTTTGTTCAAAGCTTTGAGTCCTTGCCAGGCTGTTGTGGGGCAAAACAGGTCTTGTTCATATGTGTTTTCCGTTTTTATTTGTATCTAATAGATAAATCATTTTGTTTTTGCTAGAGTCCACTTTTGAGTATGGCCAAAACAGTTTGACATCCTGCACCTTTAATTCAGTCATATATTCCAGGGTGGCCCTCTTCTCTACTTTAGTAGGATGACACTGCCTCTCACCCGGGTTCAGATGATAAAGCTTTTCCTGTTACTGAACTTGGGAGCTTTCTTAGTCCCTTTGCTGCAAATTCACTGAAATTAGTTTCTCAGTATGTCAGGCTGGCCAGGGCGGGGTCTTTCTAGGTGCCAGAAAAACTCCAAGGTACTCTCCCCTTTGGAACCTGAAAAGGCAGTGGCCTATAATGGCCTTAGTTGAGAAGTAGATTTTTCGTGAAAGTGGGAGGTGATAGGAAATACACAGAGATAAAATATCATTTTGACAGTAATTGCAGATTTGTCTAGTCCTTCCTTTATGAACTGTCTCAGATTAGAACTGTTTTCATCGGGATTAAATAAAATTGGTCAGTACACAGCTATCTGAGAAAGATAATTCCGCTGTAACCTATTCCTACCCATCCTGTTTTCACTTCTGAGCTAAATGTGAAGGACTTGTGATTCTGAGGGAACATTTAAAAGTTGGGGCGGGGGGAGGTTGATCTTTTTGCATATCTTAAGAATCTCAGTTGGGAAAGCAAAAAGACAAATTGGTAAAACACATAGCAGATACTTAAATGAGGGGCTGAAATTAAGAATGAATGCAAAACAATGTATAGAGTATTTTTAATATATACAGAAGTGGTACATTGGACTCCTCATCTGTTACCCTTTCAGTGCTCGGGAACTGGAACTAGAAGACAGGCAGAGTCGGTTGCAGCAGGAGCTCCGGGAGAGGATGGCGGTGGAAGGTGAGAGCGAAAGGAACATTTCACAGTGTGTTTGAGGGTACTTCTAGTCCTCTGTATGCTGACATTTTTTCATATCTCTGCAGATCATCTAAAGACGGATGAGGAGCTCTCGGAGGAGAAGAGGATCCTGAACGAGATGCTAGAAGTGGTAGAGCAGAGAGATTCTCTTGTGGCTCTCCTTGAGGAGCAACGGCTTCGAGAAAAAGAGGAGGACAAGGACCTGGAGGCAGTCATGCTCTCCAAAGGCTTTAGCTTGAACTGGTCCTGAGCTTCAACCATTCACCTCTGCTGGTCTGTGTTGTCCAGTTGGCCTACCCTGAGTTTGCCAGAATTACATGGATAGGAAGATACTGAAGGGGAAACCTCGAAAGGGTCCGCCAGCATGCAGGGATTCGGTCTGAAGCGCTCAGAAGCCTTTTGATAAGTGTGTTGGATCCAGAAGCTTAAGTTTCATGTGTTTGCAAGCCAAGTTGAAGATAGTGGGCTGAGACTATGCAGTCTCCATGAGGTCCCATAGAACGGACCATCTTTTTTCCTTATGGTAGAAGGGAAAGGAACAAACTGTGTGTGTGGGGAAGGAGGTTAAGGGGAGAAGCACCCTTAACTAAACAGGATTTTTGGCAGTCCATTCCTTTCCCATTGTCATTGCACCAGTTCTAATAGAAGAGAGGGAAGGGGCAACCCCTCTCTGGAGAACCACAGCAGCCTGTAGCAGCCTGTATGGAGGAGTCAGCTATCCAAGAGCGCTCCAGAAGCCCAAGGCAGCACCTTCTTTGCTTTAGTCTTCCTCCCCACCAAAGAAACCTGCAGTTGATTATTAAGCATGGGTTTGAAGAAACACGAGACAGAGAAGATTCTGCTTGTATGGAGTGATGTAACTCCCTGCATCCCGGTTTTTAGAGAGAGTTGGGCATCAGAGGACTCTCTCCCTGTTGTGGTCCTCCTACATGTTGTTATTGCTGTGGGGAGAAAAGGGGAAAAGAAGAGCGGAAAGATGCCCTTCTGCTTTGCTACACACTGGAGAGAGAGCTCCCGCTGGCCTTCGTCTTCACGGCCACAGCTCGGAGGCTGATGGGTTTCTTTGTTCTGCTTTTGTTTTGACACTGGAAAATACTGACTGTGGGACAGCAGTAAGTGTGTGCTGGGGTAGGGGTGTTACCAGGCGTTTCCTGGCTGTCAGCCCCCAAAAGGGAGAAGCCCTTAAGTGACTGAACCACCATTAAGACTTTTCAGTGTTTTTATTTTTTCTTCTGTATTTTGTTTTTGCACATTGGAAACAAAGCTTAAGACCTGCCTGGGCCCTCAGTCACTTTGACCCTTTTATGTCAATTAACTTATTTTTTTAATACTTGAAAGAAGATTCATTTTTGTATCTTTTAAGAGAAATATGGATGAGTGATGGGTGTGTGTGCCTGCTACATCCTACAACCTCCACTTCTAAATTACTGGACGTTGTTACCTGTGGCTATTTATTAGTGTTCTTATTAATAATGTTAATGTTACACATCTTTGATTGTGGAGGGGGTGTTTTAACTCTGTTAGAGGAAGACACTACTGCGGATTGGTCCCTGCTTCACAACAAGGGCAGCATTTATGGACCCATGGATGCATCCTGCCCTTTACAATGGGCATTCCCTTTACAATGGGATGCATTCCCTTTAAAATGAAATCCGGTGCGTTCATGGAGTTGTGAGAATCTATTTGTGTTCCTAGGACACTTTTCTTCTGCATCCCACGTTCCCCCCAGGGTAAACTTCTAATTTATTTAAATATTAAATGTGTATAACAGGAAAGCCAAAACTGTGAGGTAGAGACATCCCATATTCTCACTGAAAGAGAGGACCCTCCCATTCCTGAGATACAGCGAGAGGGGCTTCCACGTAAGTAAAAATAGCTGGAAAACCATTTCCTGGTGCATCTGTTGGAAGAAGCTCATGTTGGCTCAGCTGATGAAGCTGCTGCTTTTAAGCCACAAGGGAGCCTGTTGTAATCCCACATGAAGACATGAGCAGGAGATGCACTGAGCAATTCAGCACCCTTGAGTGTCTGACAGATTCCCAAGCTCATCACACCCTTGACTTGTCCCGCAGAGCTGAAGCAGCACTGTGTGCTGGGTGGGCGTCTCATCCGTCATGTGGCACGTTGAGAATTTTTTCCCCTCGAGTTGTCAACTACTTTTCCTGTTAAGAAATACCGAGCCTGCTCCTCAGTATCTTTGAGAACGTGTCTGTTTCCCAAGTGCATTCCTACAGCGCACGGACTTTCAGCCTGACAATGCTGTTGGTGCGAGATACCCAAGCAGGGCTCCACATCCTCTAATCTTTTGCCCCAGATAGAAAGATAGAAGTTAACATGGTTTCATGTTGTTGACAGTCTGCCTTCAACAAAGATGTTTTCTGTTAGCCAGGGTCTACAATTTCAATTCATATCTGAGTCCTGAACATATCTCAAGCTAAGGGCAGTCCCCAAAGATTCTCAGCAGTGCTTGTTAACTGTGCAGACGTGGTTTTTTTCCACCTCAAATGTTTTCCCTTCATCCTCCGTAGTGTTTTCTGCTGAAGCATTAAAAATTAAACGCAAACTTCCATGAAACAAAGCAGACAAGCCACCGCTGTGCTGTTCAGTAATCGTGCGTGTTAGCAAGTGGTACCTGCTGCGCCAGGATCGTGGCACAGAGCTCCTTCTAAGCGCTGGTGAACCAGCGGGATGTCTGCAAACAGAATTTCGCCCGTGTGCCAGCGCAGAGGCCAGCTGCAGGAGTCACGTTGCCAGTGGTGGTTTACACGGTATGTGTTCAAGCGGCCAGTGGAAACTGAAGTGGAGGAGGGAAGAAGGGAACCTAAACAGTAGGTGATTGTAAATTTGTTCCCGTACAGAGAATTGGCCTCTGTCCATTCCATAGTGCATGTGTATGTGGAGCACATCTGACTATGAACAAAAAATATCTTTGAATATGAGCTGTAGGACAGAAATCCTGAAGAAGAAATACCAGGTTACTGCTTCTCCCTTAGTGCTGAAGGACACTGGCCAGGTCTTTGCAAAGCTGAACGATGATATCTCTTGAGGGTCCTTCTGCCGGGGGGAAAGCCGATTCTCTAAACCACTTTAGGTTATGTTGAAGTCCTCTGGCACTGACAAAATGAAGATCTAACATTGCACACATGCGAATTATATAAAAATACATGAATGGGAACCTTAAAAGACCCTTTTTTACCAAAATGGTAGTAAAAGGCACAACTTGTACTTGTTGTTCGGTTGCACTTTAAGAATATAACTTGCATATCAGATACTGGGGTTTTTTACTATCTGAATATTTTTAATTCAAATTTTATATTTTTAAAGCTGAAGGAGGCTCTTGTGACTACAAGATTCCTTATTTATACCAGAATCCAAGTAGGATGCTGTAGCTCTTAGCGCTATCCAGGCGGGCTGTAGCACAGAGCTTGGCCGCGTGCCCTCCGTGCACACGCGGCTGTTCCGAGTGGGACACAGCGGAGAAGCCGGGCACGCGACGCCGGCGCCGTCCCCTCCCGCAGGGGCCGGGCGCTCGCTCCGTGGGGCAGGACAGCTGGGTGGGCAGCCCCACTTGTGCCCGTGGGGCCCGCTGAGGACGCGGGAGCGCTCACGCACCCTGATGCTAAAGGAGAGGGATCCGGTCTCTTGGGAGCATCCAGGAGGCGAGTGGGGATAGAGGAGCGAGGACGGCCAAAGCAGCCCATCTGCTCTTCTCACAGTACAGACAACACTTTTAACTGTTTTGTTTCTTTTGCTGTGTTTTCATTAAAGCTTAAAAATGGCTGTAAAATCCTGAGCTTCGGAGAACTATGCGTGGGGAGATGACATGATTATCTTTCAGCTCCAACTTCCAGACACACTCCTCCCTTTTCAGTTATCCAAAACCCCATGGTGTCACTAGGGCATGTTACAAACTGCATTGCCGAACACATTTTAGAGCAAACCGCACGTTTTGAGAGTCTGTCCTTCTCTAGCCGTCTCTGCATTTTCTGTAAATACTTGTTTGTATATAAAGACACCAGTGGGTCCTTGGGTTACCCCTGCGGCCAAGGACCCGAGTTTTGTGCAATGCCTAGGCCTCTGTTAGAACACGGTGCTTGCGTAGAGCTAGTCACCACATTTGTGTGCACTCTGGTGGTTTTTAATATTTTTATACATTCTAATCCTCAACATTACCAAGCATTATAAGCGGTCTAGACTGCATGATCTAGAGCAGCCAGCAGCTCCATTTTTTCTTAGCAACTGTTCCTACAACGTTCCAAGCTACGCCTTGTTCGGTTACCATTCTTTTGAGTTTTCAGTTCAATGTTTACACCAGGCAGCCGTAGACGAGAAAGGCGTTGCGTTATAAAACCTCCTGTGTACAATCAGAAAAGCCACGATGTGGCCGTGCTGGGAGTTTCAATTGTCACAGTCTGCAATAAGGAGAACAACTAAAGCATACTACAAACCAGCCTGTACATAATTCACAGGGAGAGAGATTGCTCTTGACCATTGCAAAATGAGAGATTAGGAGCCTTCCAAATGTCTCCGCTTTTGGATCGCTCCGAGTACTGCTATAGGCAGGGTAGCCAGACACACGAGGATGTCGCTGGGAGTGTAGGTGTCAAGGGGAGAGTGCCATGTTCTGATGGCATTGCAGTAATTTAAGTCCTCTCAATACGTGTGCGTGTACGCGTGTGTGTGTGTGAGGTCTAATCCAGGTGAAGGGATCTGCTTTGGCATCTTCCCTTTTGTGTGAAAGTGAACTCTGATATTCAGATCGTTCAAGGCTTTTATGGTTGGCATGTATGGATTGTTAACAGAAAAGTGTATACCCTACCTGTAAAAAAAAAAAACAAAAAACAAAAACAAATCTACGACTGTGTTCCAGCCTGTTTTCTTCTGTTTGGTTGTGTTTTATTGTTTGTTTTTATGCACACTTGCTTTGTTGGTGTTGAGATTTTAGCACCTCAGATGGCCAACTGAACTAAAAAAAAAATAAAATCATTAATTATTTTTTCTTTTTGTTGGTGGAGTTACATTTGTTGCCTTTGTGTTCACTCCCACAGTTGGTGTTAACGGAGGAAACAGGGAGCGAGGGATAGCGATCTCGAGGTGAGATAAAAAGCTAAGTGTTACTGGGCCAGCACTCAGTTTCCCTCTGTTGCTCTGACGGTTGGGGCCCAAGTTATTTGATACACAAACAAGACAGGAATGGCATCACCCCTGTGCTGACTCCACACATTGTGCGAAACCTCCAGCACTGCCACCCGTGACTCATCCACCCGCTGCTCTTTCAGAAGGATTAGCTAAGCTGTCCACAGCTCCAGGGATTCATCATGTGCCTTGTGGAAATAACACCAGGAGACATCCCTCCATCAAAGAAGTCCCATTTCTGGATCATAGAATCACAGAATGCTTAAGGTTGGAAGGGACCTCAGAGCTCATCTAGTCCAACCCCCCTGCACATGCAGGGTCACCTAGAGCACGGGGCACAGGGCTGCGTCCAAGCGGGTTTTAAAGATCTCCGGAGAAGGAGACTCCACAGCCTCTCTGGGCAGCCTGTGCCAGGGCTCTGTCACCCTCAGGGATCTCAGCTCTCAGAAGAGCCTGGAAGGATACAGAGATTCAAACCCCATGAGCTTGTGCATGCAGAGAAGCTGTCTTCTCTTGGGATTTCTTGCTTGAAAAGAACAGATATTGACCTCATGTGATGGGTGTAGGGACTGTCAACATGAGCTTGAGCTCCTGAGGAATCCAGTGTCCACTCAGCAGCGCTGATGTCATTAGGTACACTATGAGGCAAACTGTAAGCCTGCCTTTTCTTGCCACACAGCATACAGGATGTTGTGGGAAAACCCAGCCGGGGAAATCCAGAAGCGATGAATCTAACTTTCCTGTCAACCCCGCGACCTTCCTAACAAAGAATAAACTTGGTCCTAAGTAAGGTGTGGCTGGCTGGGAGGCGGGCGGGGAAGCTGCTGCTTTCGTGCTGCCTCTGCATTCCCCAGCCCAAGGGCTAGGGGAGGAGCGAGGCTTCGCTAGCGCTGTGCAGCAAATCCAGTTCTGTTTTGGAGATGTTTCAAACCCTACAGCTCTTCTGACCTTTTGGCCTCTTGCTTTTAAAAGCCCGGGGGGGGAAGCACTGGTTGCGTGGGAGGGATCTCTCTGGTGAGAAAAGGCCTTGGCCTTTACTGGTCTTCAAAGATTTTTCTGTTAAGGGGAGTGCATGGAAAGAATGACCACGGGGCCTGAGGATACAGGAGCTTGGGATCCCGTTCCTTGTTTAGGAGGAGGAACAGCCTTGCAACACTTTATCCTGCCTTTTGAAGTGCTCTGCAAACTTGGGAGTCTGAGGAATTCTCTCTGTGGCTGTATGGCAACAATACCCCATCTCTGATCTCAATATGGGCCCTGCAGGTTATTTACTGTTTTGTTCCTGATGCCATAACTGGACTCATGGAAGAGGCCGTGGTATATTACTTATTTCAGAAAACAGCTAAGCCTGCCCTGGAAGGCCTTCCACAGCATGTAGGGCTGCACCTCCCATCCACATTAACCACATGGGCATAGGAAATGACATCGCAAAAGGGCCTCACAAAAAAAGAAACACGGAGCCCACCGTGGTGGCAGCTGCTGCTTTTAGTTTCCAATTATTGTGAAAGTAGCTCCGGAGCATCTGATGCATGGCACACATGGCCGTTTCATTCCCTGGAAGGTGCCCGGCCGTGCCACGCTGCTCCCCTTGGCACAGCGCGAGACGGAGCTGGGGAATGGCAGAGAGCCGGCACCGCTTCCCGCTGCTGGTGGCTTCCCATGAGAATAGGCAAAGCCACTTTGTGGCAACAGTACCTAGGCATTAATAAATACTATGTGGTATAGCTACTTGGACAAAGATGAGTATGTTGTTTGCTTCCACTTCTGTGATTTCTTCTCTCTGCTATGTAACTTGTTAGGAAAAACAGTTAAGGCATGTGGGGGGGAATGATGCCTACTAACAACAGAGAACAATGGGTGAAAACGTGACATTCTGGTATAAGCATTTATAGGAAGCCCTCACCGTGAATATTATAGGCAGCTGTTTACATTAGTCATTACATTTTTAAGTCCAGGATATATAGCAGAACGTAAGCCTTCTGTTTGAAGGATGCAGCTTCTCCAGGAAAGCATCCTTGGAAAGCGTCTTTAAGCACCAAAGCAGGACCAGGGTGCATCTTTCCCCTTCCAAACACAAGCAGCAGAAGCGACGGGGTTGCTGCCAGAGACAAAGCCCTGCGGAGGCAGCGGGGTTAAAGCACAGAGCCGGCACAGGCTGCTCGGCCTCAGCCTCGCCGCCAGTGCTGTCCTCCCACTGCACCCGCTGCCAAGAGAGAGGCCTTCTGCTTCTCTTTACAGAAATCGCTCTTTAGAAGCTATGAGGAGTTCTTAATTTATGATGCAGCATTGAAAGAAAAAGATAGTCCAAAACCAGCCAAAAAAACTGCGTTTTATCATCTTCACAGGAGTGCAGTGCCCGTGGACAGCAAGGGAGCGAGCACACAAGGTTATTCAGACCTGCTGCATTTTGAAGCATCTCACGCTTTGTAAGAACATCTCAGATACAGAAGTCATGTTGTTCATGGTAAGCAAGATTCCATCTTTTTGCAAAAAAAAAAAAAACTATTTTCTATAAAGATATTTCAAATTAATTTATTTCATACACCAGAAAACAAACAATACACAGATTTATTAGAAGATACATATATATATATAAATATATATACACTTCAGGTGGCAGAGAGACTGTTTTTTGCGTATTTGGGATTGGCAGTGCTACCTTCGACAGGCAGTGTAAGGCAGCTTTGAGAAACAGAAACCCAGCTTTAGTTTCTTGTAATCGATAAAGGGTGTGTGTGCACACAGATTCCTTCCCTAAAGAATTCCCAATGGCGCGTTGACGAACATGTGACTCAGGCCTGAATCAGAGAGAAAATTAGCGCTGCCCTTTGTGGAATCCCAGCAACTTTTAAAGCACTCTACGATCCGCTTTTCCT